ATATAATATATAATCAATATATATTATATAATATAAATTACATTAATAAAATAAATAAATAATATATAAATATAATATAATACAATATTATAAAATATCATATTATATATGCATTTATATAATGCATAGTGAATAGTAATTAACAAAAGATTAAGTTACTACCCCCGGAACTTAATTTTTTTATGTTTTAACAAAGGAATGGGAACTTTTGTTAGAAGATTACTTTATGAACTTTTAGATGAAATCATATGTCAAATGTGGAACTTTTGGAAAATTAGAAAAAAATATTTTAGAAAAACAAATACACTCTAAGAGAGTCCATCCTAAAGATCTTTTTACCCGGTCAATAAAATTCTTTATTTACTCAAGTTACCATCTTCACAAAAAAGGTTATCTTCCCTTTAAATACAAAAAAAAAAGAATAATAAAAAAATAAAAGTAATAAAAAAAAACCATAAAACTCTCTCCCAGGTCTATCTCTCTTTGTCTCCGTCTCTAAATCATGTTTTCTCCATCTCGATCTCTATTTTTTTTTAAAATAGATCTCTCAAAATCTATCTTAAATAACTTAGTGTGGATTACTTTATGTCATTGATTGGACACAAATTCTAAAATAAAAATTTTCAAATGTTGTGACACACTTCATTATATTAAATTTTAAGCATAATAGCGAAAAATAATTGTGACCTCATTGTACCAAAAAATAAAGGGTGTGGCTTCTATAAGGTTGCAACATTAAACAATCCAATTAAAGCGCACCTCCAAAGTTTATCATAACATGCAATTTTGGAGTAAAACTTCTTTTAGGATTATCCCAAAATCTATTTTCATTTATGAGCATAAAACTTTAAACTAAAAAAATAGTTAAAATCAAGTAGATCTATAAACATACGAGAATCTTGAAAATGGACGGTCTAGATAATATATTGCAAGATGCGCTATTTTTAGGACTCAAAATCTTTTTTTTCTTCATATTCATGCATTTCGATGTCGAGATAACCAACTACAGGGTTTTTTTTTAATAATAAAATAATATTTTTTTATTAATTTTTTAAGATGCATCTTTAATTTTATATTTTAAAGTTGCAACATTATATAAAACTCTTTTTCCAAAAGCAAATGGTCTTGTAGGATACAATCCCTACAAAAATTCCTAGGACACAATCCATGTAAAAAAGTAGGGTCTCTGGCGTGCTCTTTGTAACAATAATCTAACAAGATCTTTCCAAGTCAGTTTGTGATTTGCCGAAAATTATAATTGCATTTTTAGTGGAAGACCAAGAAAACAAACGTCCCAAAGGTGGAATAGAGCGGCAAAAACTTTTGGCACTTTGAAATACTCTCTCTCTAAATTTTTTATTTTTTTTCTTCTTAAAACTGCTTTTTCTTTGCCTTTCTCACTTTCTTCTCTTTTTCTCTTGAGGACCAAGAAGACGAGCCAGTTCTGAACAGATCAGCAAAAACTTCTCTCAGTTTGAAACTGTAAGTCTCTTTCTGTAATATTGTGCTGCTTCTCTCTTTCTCTCTCTTTATCTTCTCTCTCTTTCTTCTTTCTCTCTCTTTTTCTCTCTCTTTCTCTCTTTTTCTTTCTCCTTTCTGTCTAAACTATGATTCTCTTTCTTTCTCTCCCTCTTTCACTCCTTATCTCTCTCACTCTCAATTTCTTATTTTCTTCTTCTCTCTCTAATGTGTATTTAGTTTCTTCTTTCTCTAAAACTGGTACAAATCTTGAGAGCTAGGATTTTTTGCCTCATGTTTTCCTTCTTCTACTTCTTTGTAATACATTTTTCTTGTACATAGGAAATTTGATCCTGGTTTTACGATGGGTGTACCGGAGTCTCTGTTTGGGAAGATCGACCCTAGAACTTTTGGGGATAGAGCTGGTAGAAGAAAGCCATCGGAGCGCGAAGAGAAGCTCAAGAATTTGAAGAAAAAAAAGGATCGGAAGCCCCCTCTTGTTCCAGAGACTCAGAGAAGAGAACCCAAAAGAAAAAGACTTGAATAAGAGAGGGTTCTCTCTCTATAAGAGAATGGAGTCTACGAACCCAAAACCAAGGATACAAGAGTGGCTTATGAAATCTTACTTAGCTTGATTCAACAACAATTTGGGGGCTAACTCCAAGATATTATTAGAGGAGCAGCTGATGAGGTCTTATCAGTGCTCAAGAATAAGAAAACCAAAGACCCCGACAAGAAAAGGACATTGAGAAGCTTTTGCACCCCATGACACAGGAGCTTTTTGCGAATTTGTTTTCAGTGGGGAAATTGATCACTGATTATCATGATGGAAGTGAAACTGAGGTTGGTTCAAGTGGGGATGGAGAGCTTTGATCGATGATGTCGTGGTGCCGGTTGAATTTGCAGAGGATGACGAAGAAGAAGAGCGTGATTTGGATGATCTTCATGAAGAAGACTATGAGGGGGAGAATGTTAATGATACATCAATTATGCAAATGGGTTGCTTAGTTGATGATGTAGAGGATGAAGGCTTGAATGTTCAGGATATTGATGCTTACTGGCTTCAAAGGAAGATTACCAAAGCTTATACTAATAGTTATATTGATCCCCAGCATTGTCAGCAGCTTGGTGAAAAAATCTTAAAAATATTGGCTGAAGGCGAAAATAGAGAAGTGGAGAATAGTCTTGTAATGCTATTTTATCATGAAAATTTGATCTTATAAAATTGATGCTAAAGAATAGGCTTAAATTGGTTTGGTGCACACGTTTGGCTAGGGCAGAGGACAAAAAACAGAGGAAATCAATTGAGGAGGAGACGATGGATGGGGCCCTGGACTGGTTGCAATTTTGGAGCAGCTTCGTGCTTCTAGGGCAACTGCTGCAGAGTGGCAAAAGAATATTAAGAAGAGCATTAGGGATGAAGCCCGAAGGTTGAAATATGATGGTGATAAAGAGAGAACGCTTGAGATAGATGGGTTTCCGGTGGAGAATTGCTGGCTGAAAGGCCAAAGGAAATTGGTTGATTTAGAAAGCCTTGCATTTCAGAAAGGTAAGTTCCCCACTGGTTGTTATCGTATCCCAAAAAGAGGTTATGAAGAGGTGCATGTACCAGCCTTGAAGTCAAAACCCATGGCTTCGGGTGAAGAACTGATAAAGATATCAGTTTTGCCAGAATGGGCTCAACCAGCTTTCAGTGGCATGAAGCAGTTGAATAGGGTGCAAAGCCGGGTATATGAAACTGCCCCTGAGAATATCCTCCTCTGTGCCCCTACAGAGGCTGGAAAGACCAATGTGGCTATGCTCACTATACTTCAACAAATTGGTTTGCACCGAAATGCTGATGGGCCTTTTGACAACAACAGTTACAAGATTGTCTATGTCGCTACAATGAAAGCTTTGGTTGCAGAGGTGGTTGGGAACTTGTCGAAAGTGTTACAGTCCTATGGGGTCTCAGTTAAGGAGCTTACAGGTGACCAGACACTTTCTCGCCAACAAATAGAAGACACCCAAATAATTTTTACGACCCCAGAGAAGTGGGATATTATCATAAGGAAATCAGGGGATCTTACATAGTCCGTAC